TATATATATATATATATATATATATATATATATATATATATTCACGGGAAGAAATATAAATAATTGAAATTTTTTACTACCAAGAGTTGGGAAATTGTTCAAAAAAGTCCCTTCAAAATATTTTATATAGTTACAAGTTTGCTCGCATATTTTAAATTTGCTAAACGTTTCTCCATCAACAGTTAATCAGATGGGGGTTTTGATTATTACGGATAGGTAGGGGTGTTTTTCGTTATTTAACCTAAGTACAGGGGAATTTCCGTAATTTACCCTTTAAAAAAAATAGCTCAATCTATATGTATATGTATGTATATGATGCAAAAGAAATTCATAAATTAGAGAGATATCAAAAAGAAGTTGTAAGGTGGAAAAGTAGGAAAAGAAACAAACAACAAAAGGACTATTATGACCCACAAAAAGAACCATACAACAAAGGAGAGAAAAGACCAAGAATAATAATGTTGTATTAATGGCATCAATTCTCGGTCTATGAGATGTTACACTCATGCAATGAGTAATTTTAAATCGTATATTTATACAAATAATTATTTGTTAAGCACGTATATGTATGGATGTACCTGTTATTATTTGTAGATCTATGGTTAAGATCATTCGATATAATTCATCGACTGTAGCATTCATAAAAACCTCAATTTCACGAGATCGCGTGAGTATGACTTACAAGTTGTAAAATTAATTAAAAATATCCCAACTTTGAAGGTTAAGGAAAAAAAAAAAAAGAATAGATGCAACACTCGTGCACTCTTGTGATTTTAAATCATAGAGTTACCAAATAATTATTTGTTAAGCACATATATACATGGGTGTGCGTGTTATTATTTGTAAATCTGTAATTTAAAATTACTCGATATATTTCACCGATTATAGGATCCATAAAACCTCAATTCTCGAGATAGCGTGAGTATGACATACAAGTTGTATACATAATTAAAAATATCCCAACCGCGAAGGTTAAGTTAAAAAAGAAGAAGATAATATTGCAATTTGATAGAATAGTACTAAAAATAAATGTTAAAATTTGACATTGAAAATTAAATTCAAAGTTTCTATAATAATTTGGTGTTAAATATTTCAAATTTATTAACGAAAACAAGAAATTATTTGAATTTGTTAGGATGAATGATTTTAGAAATGAATTGTAAACTAATTAGAATAGGTATGATTTATTATAGTAAAGAATTTGAAATTCATTTTATATATATTTATTTTTTTAATCATGATTCCTTTTTGCAAGTCCTCTCATAAGAAAAATCAAAATTTATAATTGAAATGCAACCTTACGTCCCTATCACGTGAAATAAAGTATTAATCAAAGTGTCCGCATGTGTATAACTCAACTGATCCGAAGGTGGTAAGTTGGTACATATTATAAGTATTAATCAAAGTGATCTGCATTGGTTGATTTAGCGATTGGAATAAGTGAACTTGTATCAATTGACTCAAATTCAAAGTCAACAGTCATTAGATTAAGCTCGTCAGACATGATTTACGTCTCGCATATGGATTATAAATATACGAGATTGTAGGTGTATGCGTATGTTTGGCTGCGATTTCATTTAAAAAAAAATATTAATGAAAGTAAATAGGATTTAAGTAGTGTAAATTAGGGTAAGAAATTGATGAAAGTAGAGAACACTAGTGTAATAATAATAACTCAACTACACTGTACCTTATTCTCTCTCTCTCTCTCTCTCTCTCTTCCTTTCTCTTTCGCCATTCCTCTCTCTCTCTCTCTCTCTCTCTGTCTCTCTGCAGACTGAAGCTAGTTATAACAAATTACAAATACCCAAAATATCCAGCTGAATTTCCCGGCAATCACGCCTGACCCCTTTTTTATATTCCACCCCGGCGGCGCCACCCCTTTCGCAAGGATTCGCCGCCGGCGTCACCCATGGACCACCGTCTCCCTCCGCCGGAACTTAGGAACACAGTTATACTAGTGCCACATTAACATTGACCTTGTTTTTTCAACGTTCAATTCCCTTTGTTACGCAATACTAATGGCCCCGACAAACGCCGACGCGTCGGCGGTGGTGGAGTATTCCTCCTCCGGCGCATCCTCCGACGAGCTCGCCGCGAAGGCGGTCCACAAGAGGTTCGAGGGGTTGGTGTTGGTGCGGAACAAGGCGATCAAGGGCAAAGGCGCGTGGTACTGGGCCCACCTCGAGCCGGTCCTCGTCCACAATCCCGACACCGGCTTGCCCAAATCAGTCAAGCTCCGGTGCTCCTTCTGCGCCGCCGTCTTCTCCGCCTCCAATCCTTCCAGAACCGCCTCCGAGCATCTCAAGAAGGGCACCTGCCCCAGTTTCACCTCCGCCCCCAAACCCATTTCCTCGGTTCCCTCGCCTTCTTCCATTTCCCCTGCAACCACCACCACCGCCTCCCCTTCATCCCAGCCGCCCCACAACCACCGCAAGCGCACCTCCGGCAGCCGCGCCGGCGGCGCAAATCCGGTCGCCTCCGTTCCACCATTGGCCATTGTCGACCCTTCTAGATTCACCGTCGATTTGTCTTACCCACCAGCCGTTTCAATCGCTAGCACTAGTTCCGCCGCCGCCGCCTCCGGCGGCGGCGGCGGCTTATACAGCCGCCACCCCCACCACCACCACCACCAACACCAGCAGCAGCTGGTTCTATCAGGTGGAAAAGAAGATTTGGGAGCACTAGCAATGCTGGAAGACAGCGTGAAAAGACTAAAAAGTCCGAAATCATCACCGCCGGCGCCGGCGTTAAGCAAAGCCCAAGCCGATTCGGCCCTCGATTTCCTCGCCGATTGGGTTTACGAATGCTGCGGTTCTTCAGCATCGTTCTCAACCCTCGACCACCCCAAATTCAAAGCATTCCTCCACCAAATCGGGCTCCCCTCAATTTCAAGAAAAGAAATCGCCGGCCCCAGATTGGACACCAGGTACGAGGAGGCCAAAGCCGAGTCCGAGGCCAAAATCCGCGAAGCCATGTTCTTCCAAATCGCCGCCGCCGGCTGGAAGCCGAACACCTCAGCCGGTCCCACTCCCGCCGGAGACGAGAACAACCTCGTCCACGTGGCGGTCAACCTCCCGAACGGAACCCACGTTTACCGGAGGGCCGTCTTCACCACCGGCGACTACGTCCCGCCGAAATACGCGGAGGAGATTCTATGGGAAACAATCACCGATATTTGCGGGGAATCAGTGCACCAGTGCGTGGGCATAGTCTCCGACAGGTTCAAGTCAACGGCGTTGCGTAATCTAGAGAACCGGCACCGTTGGATGGTCAACATCTCCTGTCAGTACAAAGGCTTCAACTCTCTGGTCAACGACTTCGGCAAAGATCTCCCCTGCTTCAAGAACGCCGCCGCCAACTGCCTCAAACTGGCCAATTTCATCAACAACAACTCCCCGATACGACGTAGTTTCCGCAAATACCAAACGCAGGAATACGGCCACGCCACTCTGCTCAAAACCCCGTTGCTCGGGTACAAAAGATCCGATTTTGATCCGGTTTATACCATGTTAGAGGACGTACTAAACTCCGCCAGAGCTCTTCAGCTACTAATTTCAGATGAATCGTACAAGACCGCGCTAACGGAGGAGCCGATCGCTCGAGAAATCGAAGAAATGACGCGGGACCCGCATTTCTGGACCGAATTAGAAGCGGTGCATTCTTTGGTTAAGTTGATACGAGCAATGGCTGAAGAGATCGAAGCGGAGAAGCCGCGAGTAGGGCAGTGCCTCCCTCTCTGGGAGGAGCTCAGGTCGAAGGTGAAGGAGTGGTGCTCGAAGTTTCACGTGCCCTTTGGCCAGGTAGAGAAGGTGTTCGACAAAAGGCTCGAGAGAAACTACCACCCTTCTTGGGCGGCCGCTTTCATACTCGACCCGTTCTATTTGATTAAGGATGCTAGTGGGAAGTACTTGCCGCCATTCAAATGCTTAACGCACGAGCAAGAGAAGGATGTGGACAAGCTCGTGACGCGGCTCGTCTCGAAAGAGGAGGCTCACATTGCGGTTATGGAGCTGATGAAGTGGCGGACCGAAGGGCTGGACCCCGTTTATGCTCGAGCGGTGCAGTTGAAGGAGAGGGATTCTATCACGGGGAAAATGAGGATCGCGAATCCGCAGAGTAGTCGGCTCGTTTGGGAGACGTATCTTAACGAGTTTAAGGTTTTGGGGAAAGTGGCGGTTAGGTTGATTTTTCTGCAAGCAACTTCGTGCGGCTTGAAGCGCAGCAATTGGGGTTTAAGGAAATGGGCTAGTGCAGATTCCCGTTCGAGGGCCCAAAAGTTGATATTCATCTCGGCTTGTTCGAAGATGGAGAAACGGGAGTTTTGTTCGAATGGCGAAGATGGTGATGACGTGGAGCTTTTCGGATTGGAAAACGGTGACGATGATGTCATGAATGATGTGTTTGTCGATACACCCTAGCTCCGTGTAAGGTTTCTCGTTTTTTTTTCTCCGTTTCGTTTGTTTCTAAATATAGGTTACTTTAGTTTCTCTATCGATTTTTTGGTGAACAAGATTGATCTTACGTGGACTATGATTTCTTGTTTGTAACATAATGTTCAAGCTTATTGTATGGTTCGTCGAGAATTCGAACGAGTGAGAATATAGGACAAGTTTTTTTATTTCTCGACATTTATTCTAAATAGTTTAGACATTAGTTTAGACATTAGTTTGATAATTAAAGAGGCTGTTTTTTAAACTCTTATTTGCATTTTGGTTGATGTAATTTTCTTCTTTTATTTTACTAATCGATCGATTTTTCGGCTGTACAACTTGCTCCCTTTTAACTCGTTTTCGGGAGTACAAAATAGCAAATTATAATTTACTTGAATATTAATGGCGAATTCGATTTTTTGTTAATTAACAGGAGCATTTGATGCAGACATCGTTCGAACGACGAAACCACCATGAAAAAAAAAGGTTGGATTATTACATCAAAATTTCTCAAGATTCTCTCGAAAAAGGGCTTCCGTTTTTCGAGTCGAAACGAGGCACTAAAGAGACCAGGTTTAACGACCTTAATTAAGCTAAAGAAACCACTTCCTAACGTTTCTATTTCCGTCTCTACACCGTTCAATTGTGCAACATCTACCCTTGATGGCACACACCCGCATGGGTGTGTGCGTGTGTGTGCAATCCGAGGACGAATCGCACATGCGCACAATGCAGGTATTATCGTTTTCTTGATGGAACGAAGGCTTATTCTTGATTAACGGGTAATTAATAGTCGTAAGTATTTGTTATATAATGTGTTTATAGTTCAGAGAGTGTTGTAAAGCTTTTCACTTTCGAATTAATATTTCGCTAAATTAATAAAATTTTGCTAGTACGTAATATTAATTTATAGAGATTTAACTGTATTATGTGCGCACTTGGCTTTATTTATGCAATCTAATTAATTAATCGTTTGGTGGAGAGACATAAATTCTTGTCGGCAAGGGATTAGTATTTACATACCTACAAATTACAATTGTTTGTCTAATCAAATTGAACAAAAAAATGATTAGTATTGTAATACTGACTGCTCAACTACTCCAATTTTTAATAATAGAGTATTTGAATAACTCTAGAGTTTAATTTTTTTTTTTTTTAAATCATATCAAAATTTATTTTACTTGTGCAAAAAACACAGTAAAAATCGCGCAACGCAGGCGCTGCGAGTGTGCTTCCTGCTCGCAAGAAAAGAAGAGCGATAAGGTTCGGTTCAAAGTATCGATCATATCTTTAAAAATGCCGAGTAACTTTCAAATCGAATATATTCAGGGGTGGAAATTTGATGGATTAGATCGAAACTAGTATTTTTGAAAAAATTACGATTATTTTCAGGAAGTGAAAAATTAATTCTCAATTCCGTTAAAAAATAAAATAAAATAAAAAAAACGATAAATCAGAATTTCGGGGATTGGAATGAAAAAAAAATCATTTCAAAATCCAGAATTTTCGGATCGGAAAAAGAGGAATTAGGAAAATTCCATTTTTTTTAATTAACATAACATATAAAATGCATAATGATGAGCATAAGTGTAATTTTTGGAATTTTTGGAATTAATTTCAGAAATTAAAATCTCATATAATATTCTAATTCCGATTAAAAAAAATTAGAAAATTTTGGAATCGGAACATTCGGAATAGGTAATGGAAAGTACTGTTCCAAAAATTGGAAAATTTCAAATTGGATCCGGCGAAAGTCATAAATTTCGTTTCAATTTACACCCGGCCCCTAAATATAGTTCAGATTATTCTACTTATACTTTGCTATTGTGTCATTATTCAAAAATTTTACCGGTATGATTATATGATTGATTAGAATTTATACTCCACTTACTAATATTGTAAAGAAAAGATAAAAGGGGGTGCAATGATTAATGCAGGAAGACAAAAACAGTATCTTTTTTTTTGGCAAGAATCTTTCTCCACTACAATGCTAATGAAATATTTTGATTAGCAATGATTTAAGTATGTATAGTGTATTTAGTATTTAATGTATATATGTCTCAAGAACATATGCTAATGTATGAGAATGATTGATTCAAGAATATTATATATATATATATATATATATATATATATATATATATATATATATATTGTTCGCGTAGGGGAGCCCGCAGTCAAGTTTCTGACAACGATCTCTTTAGACCGCTGGAAAAAGTCTCTACAAGAGATGTATTCGTCGGAATTAAGGTTTGAGGAAGACATTTTTGCCAAAAGAAAACGTGTACTGTTTTTATTTGTTGTATTGAATGATTCTCACCTTCATCGATCCTCGATTGTTGGGAAACTGCTCCATTTACCTGAAATCTCGGGACTTGAGCATCGGGGAGATCCTCCCAAGTTAATAGGGGAAAACAATTCAAGAAAGAGTGATAAAAGAATAGGAGAACGAGAAGAACGAAGACATGCGTTCCTCGTGTGTCTCAACCGTGTAAAGCAATTCAATCGTATGAACTGCATACCTTTTTTGTGGAGAATAATTTGTATAGATGAGACCTAAGTCTTTCAAAGGAAAAAAAGTATTCCAGAAATTTGACGTAAATTTGCTTCTGCGTAAATTTTTTATCGAGTAATCCATCGTGGACCGGAGTTAAAAAAATTGACGAATACAAATATCTGGACTACCAAATCTACCCCCATCATATGTAATGATTTTAATGTAAAATTTTGATAATTTATGAAATTATGGTAATCTCACTAGGAGCAATCATGCTAATAGGGACAATGGAATGTACAAAGTTACATTAAATTAATAATAAGGTCAATTATAGTGAATGAAAATCCTATGGATTTAGAAGTGTGTTGTTTTGATAGAAAAGTTTATTTACAGATAAAAGGACTTTTAAGAGATTTATTAAATTAATATTCTTGAGAGGTCTTCTAATTTTAAATTAAAGTTGAACAAGTTTTATTAAGTTTAATTGTTTTTCCCGCCTTGTATTTCCATAATTTAAAGTAGGGTTATAAAAATGTATGCATGGTTTTAATTGTTATGTTTTGTAACTTAGATTTTATACAACCCTATTTATTTGTTGAAAAAAAAATAAGTTATAAGAAATTTGGTAATTTGTGTGCGTACTCGATGTCAACTCGATGAAGTTATATATTTATCACTCATCGTGATATACGATATGTGCTATTGCGTGTTCAGAAAATTCCAAGGGTATAATTGTGAATTAAAAGTATAAGATTTGGGAATCGGTCTCGTCACTTAAAATTTCATTAATTGGAAAGAGAGGGAAAAACGCGATTTCGAGAAAAAAAATCCGTACTTTCTAAGAATGCCACCAACAGTTTTCTAATCCACAAGTACACATGAAAAGAATCAATGTTAAGGATTATAAATCATTATTATTTCAAGACCAATTTTTTTTGCACTAGTGAGTTGTGACATATTCTAAAAAATATATTTTGAGCTATGGTTACTCATTACTTAAAATCTTCCCACATCGAATAAGCATTCAATAATTATTTATGAATAAATAAATTAAATGACATTTTTTCCTGAATCGTATTCGCTTAATTAATTATTATTTCTTTAATAAGACTACATTAAAATTAAGTGTTAAATACAATTTGCCCCCCTCAACATCAATTATTTTATATTTTAAAATTTAAAATATAATAAACATAACAATCTAATAATTATTGGATCATATAAAATTAAAAAGTAACGATAATTAAATTATTGAAAAATATTTAAAAAGTAATATATATTGTATAAAAATGAACGAAAATATATTTTAAGAAATTAATGAACTAAAATAAGTTTAAATACTTAAGATTACTAGTCGTTATATATTGATTTTTTTAAAATTTATCGATATGAATATATTCAATTAATTGGTCCAACAATAATTAGATGTTATTTATTAAATAAGTACCCAAAGCAAGATAATATTTTTAAATTTTAACATATTGCATTTTTCAACAGAGATTTCAGTTGTATAATTTAATTATTCTTTTAGTTATTTCTTTCAATAAAAGTTTTTTTTAAGATATTAGAATTCAAAATACAAATTAAACTGTACTTGGGGTTTTAAGATATTAGAATTCAAAATACAAATTAAATTGTATTTAGGGTAAATGTTACAAATGATACTTCAAGGGGTAAGTTGTACTGAGGTTATACTTTAGGCTTTAAACTCTATTTAAAAGAGAACAAATTCCTGTGGAAGAAAAAAGAAAAAAAAGAAAAAAAAAAAAAACTGACGGACAAGAATAATCTTACGTGTCCAGTTTCGGACCACAACCGCTAACCGTTTCAATTTCCCTCCAACAAAACCCCTCTCTCCAAATTCGCCGCATTTTCTCACACTAAAACGAATATCCATGTCGTCTTCCTCGATCCCCGCCGTCCAACCGGGCAGGATACGGGTCCTGAAACAAGCCCCGGATCCGAAGCCGTCGGGTCCGGTTGTGTACTGGATGTTCAGGGATCAACGGCTGAGGGACAACTGGGCTTTGATCCACGCCGTCCACCAGGCCCACCGTTGGGATGTGCCCGTCGCCATAGCTTTCAATTTGTTCCATCAATTCAAGGGCGCGAAAGCTCGGCATTTAGGGTTTATGCTCAGAGGCCTCAAGAAATTGCACTCCGATCTTCAATCAACTCTCGACATACCATTTTTCTTGTTCCAGGCGAGTCGCGTTTTACCATAAATTTTCCTTATTTATTTATCTGATTTTTAATTTTTATCTTTTTTATTTTATGATGGGGTAATCCTTTTACTGCTTTGGGGCAAATTTTTATTGACTTGTAAGTGTTTGTAGAAATGACTGAGAGAATATTAGATCTTGGTATTGAGCATTTACTTTGCTATCCATGTAGATATTAAGTTTGTTTTAACGCTTTATCAATAGATTAGTGCTGCTAATAGCGAACCGAACTAAGCTCGAACGGGTTTTCTTTACGGATACTTGATTGTGATTATAATTTTTTCTAGAGATTTTGTAATCTTGGAATTTTGCAATTTTGTGATGGAAAAGCAGTTTCTTGTTCGTGTTCGTTAAATGTTTTAGTTAAAATCGAATTAATAGGGTGAAGCTGTGGACACTATTCCGACATTTCTGAAAGAATGTGGAGCTTCGCTTTTGGTGACGGACTTCTCACCGTTGCGTGAAGTTCGAAAATGGAAAGACGAAATCTGCAACAGTGTGAATGAATCAGTATCTATTCATGAAGTTGATGCGCACAATGTGGTGCCTCTTTGGGTGGCATCGGACAAATTGGAATACGGCGCCAGGACGATAAGGGGCAAAATCAACAAAAAACTTCCCGAATATCTAATCGATTTTCCTGATCTCGCTACCCCTCAAAGAAAATGGGCTTCATCGATTAAAACTATAGATTGGGATTACCTCATTGATGATGTTGTAAGGTGAGTTACGAAAAAACTCTTTTCTGAATTAATATTTCGACTGTGCTCTATCTAATCCTATGACCAGGCAATGTGCAGAAGTTCCGGAACTCGAGTGGTGCGAGCCGGGCGAAGGAGCTGCATTAGACGTACTAACGGGTGTTAAAAACGGTTTCTTGAAAACGAGATTGAAGAATTATTCTTCGGAGAGGAATAATCCGTTGAAACCCAAATCGCTTTCTGGGCTTTCGCCGTATTTGCACTTTGGGCAGATATCTGCACAGAGATGTGCTTTGGAGGCACGAAAAGTTCGTAAACTCTATCCCGAGGTGTGTAGGGTGAATTTCTCTCATCATTTATTCAATTTGAGTTCCCTGTTATATTATTGGAGTCGAATCGTTTAATTTTGATTTTGTTTGCGACTATTTTGAAGGCTATTGATGGATTCTTGGAGGAATTGGTTGTGAGGAGAGAACTCGCTGACAACTTCTGCTTCTACCAGCCGCATTACGATTCGATACAGGGTGCTTGGGAGTGGGCCCGTAAGACTTTGATGGACCACGCCTCTGATAAACGTGAACATTTATACACGTGAGTTGTTTTAATTTTCTTCGATTTGATTTATAACGGTTGCTTAAGCCGCGAAAGATTGATTTTTGTTTGTAGGAGAGAGCAGTTGGAGAAAGCGCAAACTGCCGATCAAGTATGTAATCTCTGTCGTGTAAATATTTTATAAATAAAAGTGGACATTGCATACGTAATCTGTTCGTGTTGTTATTTTTCTCTAATGGTTTGATCCGCCCGCTTTCTTTCAGCTATGGAATGCTTCTCAGTTAGAAATGGTTCATCACGGAAAAATGCACGGTTTTATGAGGCAAGCAGCTCTCTCGTGAATGTTTTTTTTTCTCGTATTCCTGTATCTTTTGTATTTTATTCGATTACTACGTTAGCCGTAATATACTTCAATTATATAACATTCAGAATGTATTGGGCAAAAAAGATTCTTGAATGGACTAATGGACCGGAGGAAGCTCTTGCAACGTCAATATACTTAAACGATAAGGTAATCCGACGTACGATAATATATATATATATATATATATATATATATATATATATATATATATATATATATATATATATATATCAGTGATCCGATGTGGATTTAATTTTTCTCGTTTATTTCAAGTGCAGTATCATATAGACGGCAGAGATCCAAATGGTTACGTTGGATGCATGTGGTCTATATGTGGAGTGCATGACCAGGTCGGTTTTGAAATTTCTCGTTTCTAAAGAGATTACCGTATTATTGATCCTATTTTTTCACGATTTTTTTTTAAATATAATCGTGAGGCTTGATTGGTTGGTCGACTATATAGGGGTGGAAAGAGCGACCCGTTTTTGGAAAAATACGATACATGAATTACGCGGGGTGCAAGAGAAAATTTGACGTGGATGGATATATTGCATACGTAAAGAAGATGGTCGGTGAAACTAAGAAGAGGAAAGCGGAAACTCTTCTTAACGGCAAAGCTAAAGAACTGCGTAGTTAATCGTTGGTTGGCTTTTGCTTCTTAATCTATAGTCATTAGTCCCTCCTTAATCTTTTGATGTTAGTAATTATGAATCCATTAACTTAGACGACATATTATCGTGTAATTTAAATGTCAGTAACGAATTCTCTTAACAGCGATTTCTCTCGAAGGGGAGAGGTTTAATGGTGTTCGTAGGATAATTGTTTTGTAGTAAATTTGTACCCTTATGGAACTGGATTGACTTTGTTGCAAAATTCAGATGATGAAATGAAAATTTTGTAAATTTACGAGCTTTTTTTGTTCGTAACATAGATATTAGGAAAACTACAGTTTCAGACCTTCAAGTTTGCTTCGATTTTACATTTGGTCCTCATGTTTCAATAATTTAATATTTTTTTGTCATTCTCGTCAATTTACCATTACTCTATTAGTTAAGGTAGTGACGGACGCATGCTTGATTTCGTTAGGTACTAACAAAAAATTGACGGAAAGGACAAAATTATTGAGTTTTTTTAAAGATGAGGGATTGAATCTACTTTTTGAAAGCAAGGAGGACCAAATTTGAAACTGATGTAAACTCAAGGGACAAAAATTGTATTTTTAGACCAAGATTTCTCCTTTTGGCTTAAGGAAAACAGTTTTCTCAATTACTCCCTCTTTTCCATAGGGACTTGCTTTTTACGGTTTGAAAATTGCTATTTACGGTTCATAACTTTCAAACCTTTATCTCTCTAGCAAAAAAACCTCTCAAAAGCTTTAGAAGGGAATTTTCTTAAAAATCATTCACAAATGAGATCATCGGATGAAGATCGGGATACCCAACATAACGAGGTAAAATTTCATCTTCTCGATCGAAAAAACTGGGCAAAACACGTAAAAGCCCAACTTTGGTTTTTACGATAGATTTAACAATATGGACTTTGGTTTTTGTTGCAGTTTTGAATAAAGACGAATCTTATCAACCGAACATGTTCTTAACTCCTACTATTTAGTCACTAGTACCCAACTTGGACGTCCATTCACGCAGTGCACGCCCAAGTTAAGTGTGCAAGCTGCATTTGGGCGCCCGAGTTGGGCGTCCAGTGCAAAAAAAAAGTTTTTTTTTTTTTTTAATTGAACGCCCAAGATGGGCGCCCATGGCGTGTATGAACGCCCGGAACGGCCGTTCGTACACGCCTTGGGCGCCCATCTTGGGCGTTCCAACATGTTTTTGCGAAAAAAAAAAGCCCTACAATTCGATTTGTAGGGTTTTTTAACATGAAATTGTCGACCTACCCAATGCATATTACACATAAAAGAGTCGAAATTACCTCAAAAATCGAAGCCCAACCCTTCTTCGAGCTTGATTTCGAATTTTTGATTTTTTTTTTTTGCTATTTGCAGTTTTTGGATTTTTTTTGGGAGATTTTGGGGTTTTAGAGAGATAAAGTGTTTTTTGTTATGAACCGTAAATAGCAATTTTCAAACCGTAAAAAACATTTCATTTTCCATAATAACTGTCTCCTTTTAAAAATATTTTATTCATATTATCTGTCAGTTTAGATTTTCAATATTGCATTAAATGGATTTTTTTCCTTCTTGTTTTAACCTAATTAATTCTACTTTAAACATTAACTATCTCTTATCACGCCATCAAATGATTAAGATTATTTTAGTCTTACTACATGTGTTTTTTTTAATGTTCTAAATATCGGTTATCGGGTTTGAGGCGGTTCGGGACCGCCACACGATAAATCGATGCGGCAGTGATTAATCGTAGATATATCGGAAATAAATCGGTTTTTTTATTTAGTGTAATATATTTATAAATATTATTTATTAATATTTAAAACGTATAAAACAAAATTGAACTTGATTCTCTCCTCATCGTTTATATATTCTAATCACATAACAAAAGTTTACATTAATAGTGAAATAGAGAATGCCGCCCCGGTGTCTGGATTGTTTTGTATTTTTCTTTTTTTAGGCTAGGTTTTTCTTACGGGGTCGCTGAGTTTGGGTTTGATTGAAAGAGATAATAGGTTGGAATTGAAAAAATAATAATAAGGGATTATTAGCAAGACCCCCCTCATCTAGTAAATGTAGTTAAGAAAACCCCCCCTTCCAAAAATAATTTGAGAAAACCCCCTTGGTTAGTATTCCACCAAATATTATTTTTATAACTCCAAATCTACCCTTAATTGTCAATATACTATTTTGAAACCCTAATTTCTCTTTCCCAAATTCACCATCTCTGCCTTTCACCACCGCCACTGCCTCTTCCCCGCCGTCCACCGCTACCGCCGCCAGATTCTCACCAACCACCACCGTCCCCTCGTCGTTCCACCGCTTCCACGTTTCCGGCGAAGACGAGTAGAAACGGCGGCAGAGATCCCAGCTCGTAGATCTTGTATCTCTTCCGCGTGAAGTGGTGGCTCCTCCACTTGGCGAGGTCGATTACCATTACTCTGGTGTTGAAGTAGCAGGGCTTGCGGTTTCTGAAAGTGGTGGAGAAGAAGGGGTTTGAGTTTGACCAGAACTTGGGTGTGAAGTAATTCATAAACAAATCTGGATATATGCTCTCATTTATCTCTTCCTTACTGTAATTATCGCATTTAAATTTTCAGCCAAGGGGAAAAGAAAACTCCCACCAAGTCCGGCGGTGTGGTGACGATGGGGGTGGCTGATTTTGAGTTTTTTTGTGGATCGGAGGGAGGACGCCGCGTGTAGAGAATTTCGCGCATGCTGAAACCTTAATCGACTATGTACATGTTCAATAGTCGATTAAGCTAATCGACTATGTTCTAGCAGTCAATTAAGGTTGATCGACTCCATTTTTTTTTTTTTGATTTTTTGTTTATTGATTCCAAGTGTATAAATCAATTATAATGTTTGTATATTTTTTGTTTTTTTTAAATATAGTTTATTTTGCATTTTTTCGCAATTGTGATTTGTTATGTTTAGTAGCAGATTCTTAATCGACTATGCTTTAGCATAGTCGATTAATATACTTGATATAGAAAAAAAAAATTAAAAAAAAAAAAAAACTTAAAAAATTTAAGATTTTCCTTAATCGACTATGACGCATAGTCGATTTAAGACTAATCGACTATGCTTCATAGTCGATTAAAAAAACGGAAAAAAAAAAAAAAAAAAAAATCGCGGAGCGCGTGACCCAGTAATGAGGTGGCAGGCGGGGGTAAAGCTGGAAACCATAATGGCTGAAAATGGGTGTGGATTTTTCTCAAATGGACTAAAGTATTTTGGGCCTACCTCCATTAAAAAAAGTAGTGAGGGGATTTTCTCAAAGAGCCCCTAATAATAAACACCCTATTTTCCTTGTAATAAAAAATAAATAAATAAAATTAGAAAAAAATATTTTTTCGATATATCGCTCAAAGTTTGACCCGATATATCGGTTTGACCCGCCCCGATATATCGATTTGACCCACCACAGACCGCCTCGGACCACCTCACTGTCAAAAAACTGATTTTCAAAACCGCCACACAAATATCGTAAAGGTTTATGCCCGCCACCGATATGACGGCCGATATATCGGCCGCCACAACCGATATTTAGAACACTAGTTTTTTTCTAAAATCAAGATAAATTTATTGAAATTCTTAATATTTGCATATCGGCCGCCACAACCGATATTTAGAACACTAGTTTTTTTCTAAAATCAAAATAAATTTATTGAAATTCTTAATATTTGTGCAAAACTAAAAACTACAGTCAATAAGTAACATAGGAAGTAGATTTTAATTGCAACATAACATGTTAGAATTTCATTTATTTTCATCTTTTGCAAAAAAGATGTTATCTTTAGCAAAATAAAAGACGCTTCACTTTTAAAAAGATGTTATCTTGAATCATCCATTTTGGTAAAGCTTCCAATCTTTTTTTTTCAATTAACCTCAATGAAAAATAGAAGTGGGCTCGAGTCACCTCATCTGATTAATAAGCTTGAGTTTATATACGTTCGTCGAGTCGACTCGACTCATTTACAACTATACTCCAAATGAAACGTTACATAATTTTACAAACATCAAGAAATACTTTTCAAACGTAAACATTATTTAACTTTTAAATGTATGCCAATGAACATCAAAATTGAAGATATCGACTAGTCCACATCTCTGTAATTGGGATGGCAACAATTCATCAACAAGTCAATTAACTCTTTCCCCTAGTAATAAGTTGTACTATATTTGGCCTCATTCAAAAAGTTATTAAATAATAAATCAATAGATTTAAAAGAAAAAAATTATTTAAAAAAAAAATCCATAAGTCTGCATGCATTAGATTCCATGAACAAAGAAACAAATAAACAAATCTTATTGGAAGTACAAACCCCAAAAGTGAACTACCAAGATTTTTGACAACTCAAACATGAATATTATAATTACATGCAAAAACTTTTGTCTTAACCTCAAAAAAGACACACAATCCAATCTCCCCATTGACCATAGTCAAAAGTCAAATCAAGATGCTAAACAACAACTAGTCAACAAGTCAAACATGCTAATTGTCCAAACCCCACTTTTTTTTTAATCAAGATTCACTAAATTAATATAACAAAATACCATTAATATAAAATAATTAATAATTATAACAATTTTAGAAATACATTTAAAAAAAAAAAAAAAAAAAAAAACACAAGCTAAGAAGGAGATGGAGTAAACCCCTTATCATATAAATCATTAATATTGCCACCATTGTAATACCTGCAAAGAACCTTGCATTTGACGACGTTGTCGTAAACGTAGAACCCGGGTGTAACCATGATCCTAACCATGGTCGGGACGAGCTTCTTCGCCCGATCCCCGCCCATATCCTCCATATAAACCGGGTCGAACCCGGCCCCTTTATCCACCCTGAATACAGGTAGGGCCGGGTGGACCGAATTCGCCAAAAGGTGAACCAACCAAACCGCCTTCGAAGCTCCGAAAAAGGCCTGCAGGAGGGGTTCGGGCCATGCCTTGTTCCAACCCAACATTGCGACGATTTCGCTCATTTTTCTGTCGCAGAATTTGCTGAATTCGTCGCTGAAATGGCGAGTCCCTTTGTTCAGTACCTCGTCCCAAGTCAACCCGTTTAGCCGACTGAACATTGCGAAATTGGATTCGCAACGGTCCAACGGGTTGAGGATCGGGTTCGGGCCTCCCTTTTGGAATCCGATGGATTCGAAATCGTCGAAGAAGGCTTTATTTAGCAAGGCCTCGAGGTAGAAGAGTAGGCCTTTAGGGTTTCTTGAAAACGAGATCTTGATATCGTAGGCTTGTAAAAGTGACGAGATCCGATCGAACACTTTCCCCCCCATTTGACGTAATTGACCCGCTAAAGCCCGGCTTAGAAAACGGACCGAAGATCTCGAATCGGAGACTAGAATCAAGAAATGCTGGATTACTCTTTCTTGATCTCCGATTTTTACGAGGTGGTAATTCATGTTACGAGACGGCGATTTGTGCTGCTTTTGGTGCTGAAAATTATTATTATTAATGTTATTATTATTATGGCAAACTTCGAGGCCCGATTTCAAGGTGTGGCAATAGATTTCGAGCTTGTTGAGCTTCTTCTCGAGCTCGGACATGGAGTACTTGAGCTTGGAAGCTTCTAGAATGGCCTCGTCTCTCTTTCTCGAAGCCTGGATCAGCTTGCCGGAGAGCTCCGCCACCACAATTTTCCAGTGATCCTCCCTAGAGGAGGTGGCGGAGGAGGGGGCGGCGGCCCCCTCCGACGAGGATTTGGGGCTTTTCTTGAGAGCCAAAGAAGATAAGATGGATTTGAAGATGACGTTCGGAGAGGCCATCGAGAGCCTATGGACAACACTTCCTCCGCCGCCGCCGCCGCCGCTGCTGCCGCCGTTGTTCTCCAGTGGGACGACGGAGATTTTCTCCCTGCTGCTGGGCCTGCACTTGTTGCACGAAACGCCGACCGAGACGTCTTTCTGGTGGTGATGCCGGGCCGCCGTCGTCTTCGACGAACCTTTGCTCCGGCGATTCTCGGAGGTCGCCGGCGTGTGGTGGCGCGTGGAACCACTCTCTGTTCTGGTGTCCGTGTATTCGCTCAGGGGAGTTGCCCTGAAACTGCTTCTCCCCTGTGAGAATTCCTCTTCCTCATTACCTTCTTCAATCTAAAACAAACACACACACACACACACACACAAAATGAACCCAAAAAATTCGATTCAGAAAAAACAAGAAACCATTAAAAAATGAATCTTGATGTGGGTTTTTTCTGATTACTTTAAGAAACCCACAAACACCCACACACAAAAACACACACACACACACACACTAATATGCATATACGCATATAGATACAGATTGGTGGTGGACTTACCGGAGTGAAATGGGGAGGGTGGAGCGGAGAGAGGGCGGTTTTGGTGGAAGAAGATGAATTCGCCGCCATTGATTTCATTCTCTCTCTAAAAAAACTTCTTTCGCAAATCCAATTAACCAACTACACAAAAATGATTGATTTTTGCATGGCAAGATTCATACTGTGTTTAAGGTTGTCTTCTTCTTCCTTGGATTTCAGAAACGATCTTGTAATTTTCTTTTCAGCCCAAATATTATATTTGCAGGTTTGTTTTTGTGAGAGTGATACCAAACAAAAAAGAAAAAGAATAATTAATTATAATAAATTAGAAGTATATTCAATGTTCATCTACCCCCAAACGCCAGAGCAGGACAGTCACTAAATGCAGCGGGGTCAGATGTCACGCGCCGCTGAACCCAACATTTACCTCTGTTTTTCCATTTTTTTTTTTTGGTTGGGTATTTGAATTATAATCGGCGCGTGAGGTGCACGCGACACGAATGTAATTTTATTTATTGCATGGGCTTTTTGACTGGATTATATGTGAAAGGGTGAATTACGAAAATCCCCTAAACTTATTTTAAATTATAAAAACCACCTCCACCTATTCGTAATTATCAAAAATTCCAGAGATTTGTTTCCGTCTTACACCAACCCCGTACAGTGTGACTTTTCACGGATTTTTTTTTAATTCCAGGGAATATATAGAATTTACACCATTACAATATTTTCTTTTATTTATCTTCTATTTAACATAAGGTATAGTAGACTTAGACTGTACACATTTTCTTTTAAAAAACTCGATCAACAGTTAATTAGAAGGGGATTTTGGTTATTACGGTTAGATGTTGATATTTTTCGTTATTTAGATTAAGTTGAGGGGGTTTTTCGTAATGTACCCGTGAAAATGGTGTTGACGGGCTGTTCCAAAATTTAAAGGAATTTGGTGGAAGAGTTATTTATTTATAATTTTATAGAGAATTATAGAATTTATGGTAATTAAATCAGTTATTATGTACATATTTTTTTTGTACTTTGTAATATGATTGGTGGATTTACTACAAAATAATTGATTTGGTGGAATTTGGTAATAGATTTTTTTATTTATACAATTGTACAATTTAAGGTAATTAAATAAGTTATTAACCATACGAGAGATTTAAACCACACTAGACTAACCATGTGTGACAAGCTCGACCTAGCGACCGTTGTCAAGGGGATTCGAACTTGGGTCAATTGACCCAAGCTCCCTTGCTTCCAACCGCTAGGCCACCCTTGCGGGTTTTATTACGTCCATTTTATTGTGTACCTTAATGTCCATTTTTATTGTGTACCTTGTAATATGATTGGTGGTTAATGCAATTTGTGAATGTTAATGTAATTTAGTTTAGGGGAATTTGTTCAAGTCTATCATATATAATTTCATTAGTAATAACGAACATCAAAATATTTTTTGTTTCGATAAAAAAATATTCCTTGTTTGTTATACCCAAAAAAAAAATGTTTTTGTATTTGTTAGGTATAATGTCGAGGTCCACCGACAATTTTTTATAACTTACTCCTTCCGTTTTTTTTTCAGGTATCGTTTTAGCTATAATTTTATTTTTCATATTAACTAACATGTTAGAATGTTGAGATGGGACAATATTTTTTTTTTCAATTTTACCCTATAAATAATGAGAGATTCATAAACTGATAAAGAGAGATTTAAAACCACAAAAGGGTTCATTTTGTCAAATACAAATTATATTTCTTAAGATCAAAACTATTTATTAACTTTCTTAATTGGTGTGCATTAACCTTAAACAAAACTTATTTTATATAAAACGTAGGGAGAAATTGGTAGTTTTCAAATAGTTGCTATAAATTAATTAAAAAATTTAAAGTCACTATCAATTCTCACTATACATTTCATGACTAAAGCATGAACAAAATATCTATATATAATCTACAATCACAGTGTAACAAAAATCGAAATGAATTCAAGCATTCGAAAGTGAAATCGAAAAAAAATAAAAATCATTGCTTATCTTTCGATTAAGAGTTGTAACACTCGAAATGCAATTTAACCTTACAAAATCAATATTTTAAAATATCAATAAAGACCTAAAAATTTTGGATAAACCTAATAAGATTCAATATTATACAAATCGAAAAATACCGTTTGAATTGTAAAACTCGTGTATATATAATCTCATATATGTGCTTCATAACTCTAAAATGATCTTAACATTTTGAGATGTATAACCAAGATATGTTTGTTTTGTAAAAGAATCTAAAATAAAATTATTTTAAAGTTTGAATTACACTTTTCACGCTACGAAGCGTTGATCTCTCATTGTACATTCAACCTTTGTCGTGTGGAAGTGCAATGAGAGCTACCTTCGAGCTTTATTGCACGGATATAATGTACATTGAGAGTTTCTGGACTCGTAACACAATGTATACATCCTTCGTAAAATATAATTTGATGACATTTTTTTTTTCTTTTCCAATGTGATCCGGTCTATCAAAACGATGCTATGCTGACTATCAAAACTTGATATTGCATATGATATATATATTAGTTATTAAGTATTTTTTTATTTCACAATATTTGTTACTTTTGAAAAAAAATTATGTTTCATATTATTTGTCGCTTTAAATTTCCAACGCTGCACTAATACAAATTTTACCTACATTTAACCCTAATAATAAACTTTATTGGCCAAACTTGCCGTGCTAGACCTAATGAGAAAAGACTTAGCCAAATAAATTCAATACTCCAAACTAGCCTAAGAAATTAAAGAGGAAGAAGAAAAAAAAATTGAAATTATACCTTAGCCATAAATATTGACAGCAATAGCAGTTGCAGGTTGTACCTTGTGCATTGTAGATAGGTCCCATCACATTAACTACCATTCATCCTCCCCTTTTCACAAGGAATCTTCATTTTGGATTAGCTACTCAATAGCAATCACAATGTGTGGATTTTACCTAAATTGTTAATACTATATACTTTGTCAAATTTCTCTCTTTTAATTCTCTTTTTGTCTGATTTTATGAAAAAAAAAAATTACTATTTATATTTGTGAAAATTATAGGAACATTTTTAGGCTCAATTTTACTTCATCAGATGCACCTACGGGTGTGAACAAGCCGAGCTCGAGCCGAGCTCGCCTCTTTTGGCTGGCTCGAGCTCGAGCTCGAGTCTATTAATTTTGTCGAGCTCGAGCTCGAGCTTGTCGAGTTCTTCTTTTCTTGGCTCGAGCTCGAGCTCGTGTCAATTTTGTCGAGCTCGAGCTCGAGCTCGTGTCAATTTTGTCGAGCTCGAGCTCGAGCCCAATCTCTCTCTTTTTTTTTATTAATATTTTTTTAATTATTATTTTATTATTAAAAATTATTTAAAAAAAAAATAGAAAATAAAAACTAAATTGTAATTATATATATTTTTAATATTTGTATTTATTTCTATAATATTTTATATTATTATACATTATTTAAATAAAAATAACATATAAAAAAAAATAATAATAATAATTCCGACTCGCGAGCTCATGAACAACTAAAAACCGACTCGAGCTCGGCTCGTTAGAAAGCTCGAGCTCGAAAACCTCGAGTCTGAGTTCGAGCTTTTTACGAGCCGGCTCATCGAGCTCACGAGTCGGCTTGGCTCGTTTACCACCCCTAGATGCACCATTATTTATTTTTGTTACCACTAAAGTTTCGAATGATTACCGAAAAAAGGAAATATAACCTATCACTATTTTTGTTTTAAACTTCAAAATTTTTGGCATTCGGCCATATAACCCGATCTATCGTATAATGTAAATAAAAGGGTAAATTACTACCATCCCTCATGTATGGTCAATTTGCAAAAAAGAAAAAACCTTTTTGTTTGGATGATTATATCTACTTCAATCAATTATAAATTTTCTTACACATCCACCTTTATGGTGTCAAATTCAACATAATCATCTAGATTCCGTGGAATGTTCTCTAGTTTGTACTCGTTTCGTGCAAAATACACTTTATGATGCACCACAATCTGATATTTACTAGCCAAAAAACACATCTTATGATATCTTGCTTCAAAATGTGGAGCTCGAATGAGATAGAAAGGAAACAAAATTGAGAATATTCCATATAATCTAGAAGATTCCTCTAAATTTGAAACCGCAAGGGCGACGGGTAAGACAATTTATAATTGAGGGGTAGTTGTAATTACCCAAACAAGAGGGGGTTTTTCGTAATTTGACCATACCTCAGGGGTGGTTGTAATTTACCCATAAATTATATTCCAATATTGATGATAATACTTATGGTATTCCGATTAAACTTTGAAGGTTAAATTACACACACAACCCCGATGTATGTTTAAATAACTTGAAGGTCCTTGTGGGATCGATAATTACCCTCACCCCCTGAAACATAGTTAGAAACTTTAATGGGATAATGCATTGGATACGTTATTCCGATAGGATTCTAACGGAATATTACTTTTAGCTAGTGGTGGAGACAACATAGAGTTATGGGGTGACATGGCTCCCTGAACATTTCTTAAATCACACATAACTCTTTGTTGTCTCCATCATTTCTTAGAACTAATATTCGGTTAGAACTCTATCAGATTAACGTATATAATGCATTATTCCATTAGAGTTTCTAAATATGTTTCAGGGGGTGAGTGTAATTATCGATACTATAGGGACCTTAAATTTATTTTAGCATACCACAGGGATGTTGGTGTAATTTACCCAATCTTTTATAATAAT